TATCAAGCTTCTATCTCTTCTTCTTTGGAATGTGTGCAAACGCCTTGCAACCAAACACCTTAAGATGAGAATAGAAAATATCTTTTCCAAACCAAACTCTCTCTGGAATATCAAAACCCAAAGGAACTGAAGGGGACCTGTTGATTATGTAGCATGCAGTGCGAACAGCTTCAACCCAGAAGCTCTTAGGTAATTTTGCCATCTTCAACAGCATCTGACTTTCTCCACAATGGTCCTATTATACCTCTTTGCAACTCCATTATGCTGCGATGTACCTGGCTCTGTCCTATGATGCCAAATACCATGCGTTAAGCAATAATCTCTAAACTCAATGGAAGTGTACCCTCCTTCATTATTGGTGCACAAACACTTTAACTTCTTTCCCGTTTGCCTCTCCACCATGGCATGAAACTGCTGGAAGACTAAAACACCTGATCCTTTGTCCTCAACAAGAAGACCCACATCTTTCGTGATGCGTCATTAATAAATATGACAAAATAGTTATTGCCATCCAAGGACTCCACCTCAATAGGATCACAAACATCAGAATAAATTAAATTCGGGATACTATCTTTTCTTTTAGAAGACTTACTAAAAGAAACTCTATATTGTTTGCCAAACAAATAATAATCACAAAGGGTGAGTGATGAACCTTTGACAGAGGGAATGAGAGACTTCTTTGCCAATATCTACAACCCCTTATCGCTTACGTGCCCGAACCTCCTATGCCACAAACTGATAGTGTCACTGTCTTGAGCAACGCTCATAGAATCATATGAAGCATTTACTTGAGTCTTGTATAAATTACAATATACACTTCCTCTATCCACCACAAGAGAGCCTTTGGTGATTTTACATTTTTCTCTACCAAATTGAATTTCATATCCTATTCGGTCCAAAGTAAGACCCGAAATCAAGTTGAGCTGTAAATTGAGAACATGTCGCACATTCTTTAAGATCAATGTGCATCTGGCATCTGTCTACAAGTGTATATCACCAAGTCTACAATTTTCGAGTAGCTGGTATTGCCCATCTTTACATTGCCAAAGTCACGTGATTTATACGACGTGAAAAGGTCTCGATTGGAGGTAGCATAACATGTAGTTCCTGTATCTACTATCCACTCGGAATTCTGACTTGTGACATGCATTCAATCTTCTTTCCTATAAATGAGAATAACATCAGTTTCAGACAAAGTAGCTGTAGTGTCACTGTCAGCTTTCTTCTTCTCATCTTTTATTTCATCTTTGTTCCCAGCTTGCTCTTTTTCAATGCCCAACAATTTTTCTTGATATGACATGGCTTCCCACAATAAAAACAACCTCTCTCTTTAGATTTTGATCTGCCCTTGGATGTGCCACGACCTCTGGACTGGTCCATGTACCTGCTCATGCCCCTGTTCTCCGTAATAAGTGCTTGTGAGTTATCTGTGCTGGTAGACTTTCTCCGAGTCTCCTCATTGAATAAACTACTAGTAACCATACTCATCGATAACACACCATTTGGAGCTGTGTTGCTGACTTTCACAACCAGTGTCTCCCAACTGTCTGACAAAGAACCCAATAACAATAAAGCCTATAGCTCATTATCGATAGTTATCTTCATGGTAGCTAACTGATTAATTAAACTTTTGAACTCATTCAAGTGCCCTGCTATGCTACTTTCTTCTTTGAATTTTAAGTTCACTAACCACCTCATTATAAACACCTTATTTCCCGTGGTCTTCTGCTCATAGAGATTCTCAAGCTTCTTCCAAAGAGACTTTGCATTAGTCTCGCCTGATACATGATGAAACACACTGACATTGATCCACATCTGAATATAACCGATCACCTTCTTGTGTTGTTTCTCCCATTCTTTATTAGTCATCTTTTCTGGCTTCGCTTCATCACCCTTAATAGGATCATGTAAATCTTTATAATACAGAATATCTTCCATCTTAGACTTTCATACTTGCTAATTAGAACCATCCAATTTTATTATTGTGCCAAAACTCTCCATCTTTTCCATCGCAAAGCACACCTCGAACCAGGGCTCTGATACCACTTATTGGAAATTTTATGGAGATTAACCTACGGAATTAAACACTAAACGAGTAACGACATCAATGAAAATATCACAAGCAAACAAATACCAAGATTTAACGTGGTTCGGAAAATCGTGCCTACGTCCATGGGGCAATCTAGAGAGAAATATTCTACTATGAATCAAGAGTATAATCCCTCTAAGTTATACCTGAACTTGAGGATTAAATCACAAGAGAAAATACAGTGTTACCTCAAGGGCACCAAAACCCTAAAACCTGTCTCACCAAAAATCGAATCACTGCAATCGGAGAACCGAGCGATCCGAAATCTAAAATTCTCTCTCTCTCTCTCTCTCTCTCTCTCTC